CCCCCCCCCCCCAGAGCCCTGTTTTCCAACAGCTGCTCTCAGCACCTCTGAAGGAGCAGAGGAGAGGACAGCAGGTTGCGCAAAGCAGGGCAGACAAGAACGGGGAGTGAATCTGGCTTCCCCAAATCTCCGTGGCTAAGAGGGTTCCTAACCCAAACCTTAACCGTTCCCCCTTTCTTTCTTTCTCTCTCTCCCCCTTCCCTTCTTCCCTCTCTCATTCTAAGGCTAGGATACCCACCCAAAACAAAAAGTCCTTTGGAAGAAGCTGCCTTACTTACCTCCCCACTCCCCTGCTCTTCCCTTTCCGTTGGTGATCAGGGAGGCACGATCAGGTACAGGGGAGCTCCCACCCCTCCCCCTCCCCTCCCCCCCCAAGCCCCCGAGGCCATTTGGCTGCCGCCCCCTCCCCAGGCCCCCCCCCCCGACCCCCACCCTGCGATGGATCACCCCGTGGCTTCTGGCTGGCAGCATTGGCAGCTAGCCGATTGGCTCCTGGGCAGCCAAAAGTCCGGGACGAACAGTGTGTCGTCGAATGGCCCACGCCGAAGGGCCTGGGACGGAGGGGCCGTGGCCAACTGGCCAGGGCAAACAGCTAGCAGAGGGCCAGCCGAGTAGAAAAGCTAGAGGTGAATGCGGGGAGGCGAAATGCTGGCGGAGAAGCGGGCGTGGCCAAGGGTTGGGGCCGAAAAGTCCTAGATCCGGCAAGAACCGGGCTGTTGTGCAGCATCCATCCAGGCTCCCAGTGCTACAGGAGGAGGCCGGAGGTGCTCTCCGAGCTTGGTTGTATTTATGCAGATGTTGCATTACCCACACTAGGTAACATCACCAGTGCAAGGGAGGAGGAGGAGGAGGAGGAGCTCTTCGGGACCGTCCTCCACAGCCGAGAGATTCGTCTGGTTCAGATTCTTCTACAAGCTGCAAAGCAGAAACTGACCCCTGGATTGGAAGGGAAAGGCGCTTGCGCTACGCACTTCAGTTCCTGCTGCTGGCTGTAGTAATAGTGCATCTTCTGCCCAATGCGTTGCAGCTCCTCCTGCAGCTGCTGAATTTCAGTCTTTCCTCGCTTGGTTTCTAAAAGGAAAAAGAAAAGTAACTTGCTCAGCGTTTGGAACGGTTTTTCCCATCCCTCTTTCCTCCGAGAAATTGTCTCTGGAACTCTGCCAAAATTGGTGCAGGCTTTTAAGCGCCACTCCCGGTGAATCAGCTGCCCGAATCCCTTCCAAACGCTCTCCTGCCTCTCCAGACTTCAGGCATGTTTCCGCCCCGCCAGTGATATTCCTGCCTTTCCTTCCTGTCGAGGGTCTCCCTTATTCGCCACACTGTCCCTTCTAGGAAGCAGGCAAGGGAAACGATCCTTCTGGAAGTGACATTCCAGCATTACCTGCTTTTCCGCAAAGAGGAGGACGACTCCCTCGCGTAAAATCTTCGGGGGCCAGCAAAGGCCCCCTGGAGACCACGGCTGGCCTCTCCCTGCCGGGGGCTGCAGCCAGAGGGGGGAGGGAGGGCTGGGGAAGGGCAAAAGAGACCATCACGCTTGTGGCTCTGAGCTGGGCTCGCTGGTCCCACCTGAAGCCCCCAGGAGGCCCTGTGGGTCGAGGGCCTTGGCCATCAGCCTCTGGACCCCGGAACGGCACAATCCAGACCCCGAGCCCCCCCTCCACGCCCCGGGGAAGAAGCCGGGGGAGCAGCGGAGCAGAGATGCTGCTTTCCAGATGCTCACCGTCTCAACGCTTGTCCTCTTCGCCCCCGGCATGAAGGAGGAGGGGGTCCGCAGCTCTGGGGCAGCACCGTGCAGCCAAGAAGTCCTGGGGGGCCCAGATTTGGGGAAGGAACAAGAGGAGTAACCACAGCTACTGAACGGGGGCGGTGAAGGGTCGATGCTGGGGAGGGCAGACAAGTGGGGGCCTGCCGCCGCTGGCTGAGGAAGACCAGCTGAGCTTTCCAGCCTGCGGGGGAGGAATATCGGCTAGTTTTTGTACAAATATTCAGTGCTCTTCCTAAACTTCTATCCGTGCACGCCTAGGCCTTTCCTAGGTCTTTTTGCCACAGATGGAAGCAAAGCCATCGCACACACACACACACACACACACACACACACAGAGAGAGAGAATGGACTATGCTGACAACTAGCCATGCCCAGTGCTGGCTCTCTGTCCAGTGACAAGCCCTCCTTGGAAATCAGCCAGGGATGTTGGTCCCTGAAAGGAGTGATGCAGCACAACTAATGGTTATTTGTTTGTGGGTTATTATTTAACAGGTTCTAATTTAACCATCATAAAGTGGCTTATCTAAAGAGGAAGCTGGGATTCTGCAACTGGAGGTTGGAACACATTTATTCACGTGGCAGAATTTGGCTACGGTACTGATCAGAGCTCCAACCTTGGGGTGGCGAGTCAGAGTCACTCTGGCCTGCTGGTGTTTGCAAAAAGGTGCCGTGCAGAGGAGGCCACCTCACCCGGTAGACCAGACCAGAAACTGCACCAGATGAGCTAATTCTACTCTACCGTTTAAGGCTGCATTAGCAGAATTTTGCAAGCCTGAAAGTACAAACTCCTGAGGTCTCCTTTACTGCATGAGAAGTTAGGGAGGCCAGCCTCTTTCTCTGCCCATTATGCAGGTGTGTCCTCCCTTATTTCTTCACCCCGTCTGCCAAGGTCTTTCCCACATACTGTTACGATATCTTTGCAATTCCTTGAAATGTATGTTTTGACTGGGATGCCCGAATGTTTGCCTGCACCTGAACTCTGGACCCAAATCAACTTGTGGGCAGGCCCAGCAAGAATGACAGAAAAGAGACTACTAAATCATGAGGGCCAGAAACCTGACCTGACTTCTTGCTGCTGTCCTTGTTGTCCACTTACCACTTCCCTGGATGCGGTAGCCCCCTTTTCTCAGGAAATGGTGTCAGGAAATCAGGTCGACGAGGCTGCAGCCTCGCCTGGCGAGCGGCATACCTGTGGGCAGGAGTAAAGCACTGTTTGCTTGGCACCCCCAGGGCAGCTGCCCACCAGCAGGACCCACGCAAGGCAGCGTTGCACAAGCCGATGGGTTGCCCTCCTCCATCCCCCCAGGACCGTTATCCGGGACTATGGGGTGGCCAGGGGAAAAGGCAACGCCCAGCCCAGGTTCAGGAAAAGGCTGTGGAGGAAACCAACTCCCAAGGGTCGCCCTTCTGCCTCCTCTGAGTTGCAGCCTTGAGGCTAATGTGATGCTTCCCACCACCAGCCCAACGATTCATGGCAGATGGTTCAGGCAGGGCACCCAGGAGGCCTCAAGATGGGGCATCTCTCCCCTGTCAGAGAGAGGGAATGCTGGAGAAAGGGGCTTAAAAGGATCTGGGCACAGTGGGAGTGTTCTGTTGCAGACACCAGATCTCCTCTTGCTCCTTCTTTGCAGGGGAAACTGCACTCCGCGCAGTACGTACGTTGCAAGCCAAATTGGAGCAAACCGCGTGATGCAGCTGCTCAAAAACCCAGCCCTTGGCAGCATCAACCAAAGTACAGGATCCCAACTAAGAGAAGGCACAGCTCCTCTCCCGGCTAAAATAGGGATGTGGCAGGGAGCATCCGGGGTCCTGTTCTGGGCAATGCAATTTAAGGAAGGAGTTGGCAAACCAGGGCTGTGATGAGAAGGGCCCCCAGGGTCTTCAGTGTGGAAGAATGAAGATGGTGGGAAGATTGGGCGGGGGGAGCATATTCATCCCCATGGCTGCATCTGCCATGTGGACGATGGGGCAGAACTGCTCAGGGTTGGTCCAGATAAGGCAAGATAGGAGAAATGGCTTCAAATTAGGGGGTTGTTTCCACAGCCTCACTGCGGGAGCTGCTCCTTACTGGATCTGAGGCAGTGGATTCTCCTTTGCAGGAAATGTGGATGCTCTAAGAGTGGGATTCTGTATTGGACAGGGGTTGGACTGGATGGCCTCTGAGATCCCACCCAACTCTTCCATTCTCTGATTTCTGACTCACAAATCTGTGAAGATGGAATCTCCAGCAGCCTGGTAATCCCTTGGCACACCGGGAAGGTTGGCCTGTCCCGTGGGGATGCCAGGAGGGACGTGGCCCGGCCTTGGCACCTCGAAAGTCACGTGCTTCTTGGTGGGAGCGCCCGAACAGGCCAGGCTGGGCTTCCGGGAAAGAGCCTTCTGCTTCCACATCATGGCACAGCGGTAGACCAACTGGTGACGCCGACAGGCAGCCTGCAAGCACAGAGCAGGAGGGGCTGGTCTCGCTGGCACGCCGGTCCCAGACCCCGAGCTCCACCCGGGAGTGAAAAGCCCACCCCAAGCAGAAGCCCCGCCCCCTCCAACCGTTATCCGACTGGGCGGGGCCCCAAATCCACTGGCACCGTCGTGGGGTGAGAGACGCGCTTGCCAGCCGGGCTCCAGCTTCACCTGCAGCTGTTGCTGGGCCTGCAAGCACCCTCGCTGCTGCTTCATGGAGGCAACGTATCTCAGGATGCGGCAGATGCCCTCGCGCAGCAGCTCCGCCTGATAGCTCTCGGCTGCCCGTGCCATCCGGCCCTTCTTCCGCAGCTGCTCCTGCACGGAGCGTCCCCAGGCGCCCAGCACCTGCAGCCGAGACAGAGCAGGCCAGTCTGGAGAGCGGCATCCCCCTGGCTCACTTTCCTGGTGCCCCCAGGAGGGGCTGAGAGGAAGGGCTCACTGGGTGCCCCCCCCCCCCCGCTGGCCGGCTTGTGCAACGAAGGCCTCTCCTAGCGGGGTGGGAGCTGCCCTCTCCCGTCTGTGACCAAGGGAAACGCGGTCTTTGCTCTGGGAGACCTCAGGAACCGTGATTACAGGGGCTCTTCTGCTTTTCTAAATGTCATCCTAAGAGGGGGACAACGCAGGCAGACCGGCATAAACCTTTCAGAAATGTCGGATGCGCCAATCAGGCAGCTTGACTGCGGCCCGGCAGCAGAAATTGATGGCCACAAGGAAACCTGATGGAACAACTCTAGCAATGAAGAATCCAGGAGTTCCCACCCTGGACAGAATCTGGCTCTGAAGAACAGTTACACCCCGAGAGCTTCCCATCCCTGTAATCCCGAAGAGTCTGGAGGGAGAAAAGCAGAGAAGTCACATCTAGGAGGGAACCCAAGTCGGGAGGTTTGAGGTAGACGGATACAATCGAGATCAAGGGAGGCACTAATGCCACTCTAGTAAGGCCACACCTGGAGTCCTGCGTCCCGTTTTGGTCTCCACACTATAAAACAAGATGTTGAGACTCTAGAAAAAGTACAGATAAGAGCAACCAGGATGATGAGGGGACTGGAAGCTAAAACATATGAAGAACGATTGCAGGAACTGGGCCTGGCTGGTCTAGGGAAGAGAAGGACCAGGGGAGACAGGAGAGCATCTTCCAATATTTGAGGGGCTGCCACAGAGAGGAGGAGAAAGGGGCCAAGCTATTTTCCAAGGCACCCGAAGGCCAGACAAGGAATAATGGATGGAAGCTGAACAAGGAGAGATTCAACCTGAAAATCAGGAGGAATTTTTCTGACAGTGAGAACAATCAACCCATGGAACAGAAGTTGCCTTCGTTAAGTTGTGGGAGCTTCATCAGTAGAAGCTTTCAAAAGGAGACTGGGCTGCCATCTGTCAGAAATGGTGTAGGGTCTCCTGCTTGGGCTGGGGGTTGGACTAGATGACCTACGAGGTCCCTTCCAACTCTGTTAATCTCTTAGGAGGCCGAAGAAGAGAGCAGCCAGGGAGCTGAGGGCCTTTGTGTGTGCAAGAGGTCAGGGAGAAACGGACTCTGGTTCTAGGTTCTAGGTTCTCTCTCTCTCTCTCTCTCTCTCTCTCTCTCTCTCTCTCTCTCTCTCGGCAGATCCAACAACTGTTGCTGCACAAACTCTTCTCTTTACCTTTGGCCTCTTTTACTCACTGACTGCGGAATTGCTACTCCACAGCACTGGACAGGATGTGACCTTTGTATGCGTTGCTATCCCCCGTTGAACACTGATGCTCAGATTTTAAAAGATACGCGGGTGAGAAGATTATGGAGGCTGTTTCCTGTGGTTCCTAACGGAGTGTTGCAAGCCTCTTATCTATTTGGCATGCTGATAAATATTAACCTTGCTGGATGTAGGAAAAACTCTCAGTGGAGAGTATGCTACATTAAATGTTTGCAAACCTAACTTTACAGGAAATTTTTCAAAATTCACAACAAGTGGTCATCAACAAGATGGAAACTGACCAAATAATTGCCTCATTTCAATATCCTGCTTTTTTCTTTTACATTCAGAACTGGATAGAATGTAAATGCTTTAACTTTTGTTTGGTTGCTTTTTGGTGTTTTTTTTTTTTAAAGGTTTATCTTTGGTTTTCTGTTCCAATTTTTTGCCATTTTCTTTCTTATCTGGATTTCTTCTTTGATGTAGCTAACAAAGCATAATTATACAGCTTTACATCCATTCAGTGATGATTTAGGGGACTGGAGGCTAAAACATACAATGAACATTTGCAGGAACTGGGCCTGGCTAGTCAAGGGAAGAGAAGGACCAGGGGAGACAGGAGAGCATCTTCCAATATTTGAGGGGCTGCCACAGAGAGGGGGGGGGTCGAGCTATTTTCCAAAGCACCCGAAGTCAAGACATAAAGCAATGGATGGAAACTAACCAAGGAGAGAAGCAATCTGGAACTATGGA